CAAGCAGGTTGACTTTTTGATACCAGATAGTAAGCCTGGATTAAGTATTTTCTATAATGCTCATTCATTCATTCACTCATTCTGGAAGCATCCACTTCAGGCTCTGGGCTGGGTGAGGGATTCAGCCATCTAGGACAGGATCTGGAATTTGTTCTGTGCCTTTTCTGACCCCCTCCCTCTCCTCCTCCTGTAAGAAGGTCAACAAGACCTGCTTACTGGCCCCCATTACTGAAAGGAAACTGCACCTCCAGTTAGTATCCTGCCCAAGGTCTCAAAGGTAGTTGTGACAGAGCTAGGCCCAGGCCGTTACTTGCCTCCTTGAGAGCACAGGTGTGGCAGAGGCATGGCTGGTGCTGGAGGGTTGACTGAGGCCTGTCCTACTGCTGCTGTAGGCAGATGAATGTGGGCTCAAAGGCCCTGGGGGAGATAAGACCACCAAGGGGCAAGTGTGGCTTGGAGATTCCAGTGGGTGGGCAGTCTCTCCCCAAGGCAGGTCTAGGCCAGGCCCTTACTCCTGGGGTGGGTCAGATGCTGTCCTGCTCTCTGGTGTCCCAGAAGGAGGGGGACAGCCAGCAGGCCTGGTTGTTATGAGCTTCCCCACTTTAGAAAGTTCAAGCTGATTCCCACAGCACTGAAGCCCCTTGGTGGCTTCTGGGAGCCGCTGTGGTAGCCTCACCTGTGCCTCTTCCTGCTCTCTTGCCAGGGGAGGCCCATGCTATCGGCTTTGCTCTCCACGCAGGTGAGATCAGGCCACCAGGCCTCTGGCCTTTGACTGGTGTGTCCAACCCAGCCCCTCTGCTGAGTGCCTGAGGGAACAGGTGGTATAACAGGCCTCACGCAAGGTGGTCATGAGGACCTGGTAGGGTGGGGTGTGGCCCAATACTTTGGAAGACTCTAGAATGGCCATCCTGGCCTTAGTACACATTTGTGCCAAGGCAGGTACCCTGTCCCTCAGCACATGGGAAGTGGCAGCAGGTAGCAAGACAGTTTCCAGGTGACAGCATGAGGGCAAGTGAGGCCTAGAGAGATGGGAAGGGTCTGGTGCCTCCAGCCTGTCCTGTTGCTACCAGGTGGGAGAAAGGGGGGATCCTTAGGTGAGCGGGAGTCAGGGAGGGCTGTGTGCCCCCACAAGGCTGGTGTTTCATCTCCACTTCACAGATGAGGGGACTGTGGCTCAGAGACCTTTGCAGGGGGACATCACAGTATAGGGCCCTCTGAAGGGAGCCTGGGACTGCATTTCTATGTGGGCCCTGCGTGGAACTGGAACCAGGCTGGCTTTCCTGGCTCCCAGCCTTTTGGCTTCCTCATGTTCTTGGCCTTTTTTTCACAACAAACTCAGAAGCAGCCAAGTAGCTGGTTGTGTTGTCTGCACATGCACCAAAGCATGTTTCATTTTGGCTGTGACATTCCTTTGTTGTCCCTGTCTTATAATTAGCATAGGAGGTTGGTTATAGTATGGGGAATTTCACTGAAGGATGGTAAGGGAACATGTGTCAAAATGGGCAATATAGTTCTTTAAGGCTGAGAGAAGCTCAGTGTATACCCAGCAGCTGGGCCACTTGGAGGGGACTGTCATGCTATCAGTACTGTAGTGGGAACCAAGCAGGCTTTCCTCACCGACCTGTTAACAACAGCTGTTCGAGTCAGGCCTTTTCCTTGTGCTAGCTCACCTCAAGAAAAATGAGGTAATCTGACTTACAGATGCCAACTAAGGCATGGAGGGTAAAACCCCTTGTCCAGGGTTGTGTAAGGAGTGGCAGGGTCAGGGCTAAACCTTAAAACCTAGAGGGTAGAGCTGGGCACGGTGGCTCACACCTATAATCCCAGCACTTTGGGAGGGTGAGGTGGGTGGATCACCTGAGGTCAGGAATTCGAGACCAGTCTGGCAAACATGATGAAACCCCATCTCTACTAAAAATACAAAAATTAGTCGGGCATGGTGGTGGGTGCCTGTAATCCCAGCTACTTGGGAGGCTGAGGCAGGAGAATTGCTTCAAACCAGGAGGTGGAAGTTGCAGTGAGCCAAGATTGCACCACTGCACTCCAGTCTGGGTGATAAAGTGAGACTTCATCTCAAAAAAAAAAAAAAAAAAAAAAAAAAAATCCTAGAAGGTAAAAGAACTGTAACATCTGGGATAAAGTTAGCTGTAGAAATAAACACAAGTCTTACTGTTGGGGTAGTGTCAGAGCTGGCCTGCATGACTTTGAGATTCCTAGCTGCCAGCGCAAAGAAAGCAATGGATTATTCCCACTGGAGCCACAGTGGCCCTAACAAACAGAAGCCATCTGTTTGGATGCTGGGAATGGAGAAGACTTGCTCCCCAGAAATAGATGCTGCAAGATGTGGTAGGTGACATTTCTACTGTCAAACATCAGTAGATACCTGAAATGATTTGGCCACTTTGGTCACCCAACCACAGTATGACCCAAGCTGGGTCCAAGGAGCAGCTGTTGCTGATCTGGCTTGACTTTTGAGGCAGGTGGAATAGTGGGCACATGAGAGGGGGAACTGAAGCCGCCACAGCTGTGACACAGCCCCCAGGTTTGAGCTTGGCTCTCCCATCACCTGTCCCCTCATAGCTTAATGGGCATCTGGTGGTCCTTCCCTGCAGTGGCCAGAGTCCTGTTGTGGGCTGTCCAGGCTGAGGTTTCGGCTGCAGCAGGGGTAGTCCTGCCCCCACGTGCCAGCAAGTTGTAACCTGGCCAGAGCCTCTGGCATAGGACACTCACACCACCAGGAAGCTCAGTGGCGGACCCCAGCTCTGATAGTTGGCAGGCTTGGGTTGAGATTGTAGTTCTAGGCCAGACAAACGTGGGGCTGGGGCGGTTCTCACGGGCTGCTGTGCAGAGTCGGCAAAGAACCTCTGGTTGTGCTCAGCCAGCAGGCAGGTGGCAGCCAGGCTGGCTATGGATGAGGAGGGGAATCCTCTTTTCACCACTGCCTGCCTGCTCAGCATTTCCTCAGCTGCTGTGGGTAGAGCCAGCTTGCAGGGGCCAGAGTCAGAGTGAAACCAGCGGCTCTACTGGTTTATCTCAGCACTCACACTGGGGACTAGGCCTGGAGTGGAACTGAAAGGGAAACCAGGCCTGTTCCCCTCCAGGCTTGGCCTACTTCGTCCCAGTTATCCTTAAGGCCTGCAGCCATTGGGGAGGGTGGGGGCCAGGCAGGGACAACTGGAAAAGTAGCCGAAGGAAGAGGCCACTTGCACCTTACCCATCTTGCAGACAGGAAATGAAGGCTCTGCAGGGCTGGCTGGCTGTGAAAATGGACAACGGTACAGAGGCCCCACTCCCCACACACTGCGCTGTTTCCACTGCCCATGTGGATGCCATGTGAGGCCTCACTCTGCCTGCCCCATCCTGGTTGGTGCTGGTCACTTCAGGCTGGAATTTTTTTTTTTTTTTTTTTGAGATGGAGTCTCACTCTGTTGCCCACGCTAGAGTACAGGTCAAGCAATTCTCCTCCTCAGCCTCCCAAGAAGCTGGGATTAGAGGTGTATGCAACCATGCTCAGCTATTTTTTTTTTTTTTTTTTTTTTTTTTTTTAGTAGTGATGGGGTTTTACCTTGTTAGCCAGGCTGATCTTGAACTCCTAAACTTAGGTGATCTGCCCGCCTCGGCCTCCCAGAGTGTTGGGATTCACTGTGCCCAGTCCATGCTAGAATTTTCTAGTCATTCAGCTTTCTAGCGAGAGGCCACAGTAAGCCGTGGCCAGTGTTGGTCATTTCTGCAGTCGTTACTCTCCCCCAGCCTGTTGTGTTCACCAACCAGAGCAGACCCGGGAGCTCCCAGGAGACATGCTGGCAGGGCTTCAAGTGGGGCCAGGCTGCCCTCTTACCTCACTGTTCATTGACTCTCATGCAGAGGTGGGAAGGGAAGGAGAAAGGAAATGGCCAGGCCACTGGTCATGATCCTTCCATCAAAGGTACCTGGCACCTCTGTGTCTAAAGCATCTGGTTTTGGGGGCCAATTCAATAGCACTAGCAGCTCTAGTCCAAGCTGTGCCCTTTTGGTCCAAGGTAGAGGTCAGATCACCTGAAGCCATAGTTGCTGGAACATCCTTTGGGATGGCCTGGCCCCCACCCTCCCCACTGGCTGCAGGCCTTAAGGATAACTGGGACGAAGTAGGCCAGGCCTGGAGGGGAACAGGCCTGGTTTCCCTTTCAGTTCCACTCCAGGCCTAGTCCCCAGTGTGAGTGCTGAGATAAATCAGCAGAGCCTCTGCTTTCCATTCCCCTGCTGCTGGTTTGTTAGGGGCTGTGGTATTTTCTAGGAACATCTGGATGGAGGGGATCCAGTGGGGCCACTTCTGTCTATTCCTCATCTCTGGCTCTCTTCCCTTTTCTTATCGTCTTTTGTCCATCTTTTCAGTCTTATCACAAGAGGAAAGGGAGGTTTGCCCCTCCTCAGCAGATTCCCACCTGGAAGCAGCTGGCTTCTTGGCTTTAGAGTGCCCCAGCACTGGAACCATCTGCAGGGTCAGTTGAGACCTGGGAGCGGTGCTCCTACCAGCAAAGGAGTTCCTACCCACCCTGTAGCCCTATGTGCTGGGTGTCCCGGGAGGGTCCAGGGCCAAGATTTTGTTGTTTTCCAGTGGCTAGCCCCTGTCCCTTTGGGCTTGGTGTGATGAGAGGGTAAGCAGCTGGCATCACCTGGCTGGGCAGGGACCTCTTTGCTTACCAGTGGGAAGAGGAATGATGTCAGACACATGGCAGAGCAGGAATGTCCCCAGGTCCAGGTCCAGGTCCAGGTCCAAAGGGCTGGAAGCGCTACCTTCAGGCTGGGAGGGCTGCCTTCTGCCAGCACATGCTTCTTGGGATCTCAGTGTGAATGGTGTTCAGGAGGCTAGGGGAAGGCACTACAGGCTCAGATCCTACACAGCAACACCACAGACACTCTCTGCAAGGGGGATTCCTGGGGAGATTATGGACAAACTCAGGCCTGGCTGGAAAGAAAAAGCATCAGGAACAAGCCTTCAGTGAGCCATCTTGGTCTTGTAGAGTTCAAGGCCCAAGCTACAAGCAGCTTGCTCCAACATCCAGGAGGTCCGGCGGTGCACACGCCTTGAGATGCCTGACAACCTCTACACCTTTGTGCTAAAGGTGAGTGACAAGGCTTTCCACACCCTGGGGCAATACAAATCCATACACATATGTCAGATCCAACACTGTTCCCTTCCTCCTTGCTAGGTGAAGGACCGGACAGACATCATCTTTGAGGTGGGAGATGAGCAGCAGCTGAATTCATGGATGGCTGAGCTCTGGGAGTGCACAGGCCGAGGGTGAGGCCCCAGGCCCTCGCCCCTGGCACAACCTTTGCTGCTACCACCCCTGACCTGCCCAGATCCTTAACCTCAGCCTCTTCTCCAGCAGGCTGGAGAGCACAGAAGCAGAGATGCATATTCCCTCAGTCCTAGAGCCCAGCACGTCCAGCTCCCTGAGGGGCAGCACAGATTCCCTTAACCAAGGTGAGTAAACCAATGTGTAGGCCATTGTCTTCTCGGTACACTGGAACCCACACTCAGCCCAGGACCACCATCACCCATCTTCTCTTAACAGGTGCTTCTCCTGGTGGGCTGCTGGACCCAGCCTGCCAGAAGACAGACCACTTCCTGTCCTGCTACCCCTGGTTCCATGGTCCCATCTCCAGAGTGAAAGCAGCTCAGCTGGTACAACTGCAGGGCCCTGATGCTCACGGCGTGTTCCTGGTGCGGCAGAGCGAGACACGGCGTGGGGAATACGTGCTTACTTTCAACTTCCAGGGCATAGCCAAGGTATGGAGTGGAGCAGGGCAGGTGGGACTGTGCCTCCTCTTCCCACTGGAGTTCAGGGTCCTAGAGGGACAGTCCGAGCCCACTGTCCTCTCCTCCCCCAGCATCTGCGCCTGTCACTGACTGACCGGGGCCAGTGCCGTGTGCAGCACCTCCACTTTCCCTCAGTCGTGGACATGCTCCACCACTTCCAGCGCTCGCCCATCCCGCTCGAGTGCGGTGCCGCCTGTGACGTCCGGCTCTCCAGCTACGTGGTAGTTGTCTCCCAGCCACCAGGTCTGAGCCTACTGCCCTTTGCTAAAGGGGATGGAGGGCACAGGGAAACTGAGTGAGGGTAGAGGCTTCTTGCAGACCCAGGGATATAGGGATCTTGTTCTGTGTCCTGTCAGCACTTGCATCAACACTGACGGTATGGTCTCTTTTGGTCACTTGTTCTAGGTTCCTGCAACACTGTCCTATTCCCTTTCTCCCTCCCTCGCTGGGATTCAGAGTTGGGCCTTCCCCACCTTAGCTCTTCTGGTTGTCCCCAGGGGCTCAGCCCAGAGGGTGTCCCCGGGCGATCCTCACCCCCAGAGCAGATCTTCCACCTGGTGCCTTCGCCTGAAGAACTGGCCAACAGCCTACAGCACCTGGAGCCTGAGCCTGTGAGTCGAGCCCGGGACTCAGACTATGAAATGGACTCATCCTCCCGGAGCCACCTGCGGGCCATAGACAATCAGTACACACCTCTCTGACAGAGGAATTCCAGGCCTCAACAGACGCCCTAGAGGAGCACAGGCAGAAGTGTGAACTTGTGAATGTAATGATCTTTCCTTCCTTCCTTCCAGAGAGATTTAAGGGACACTGTTAACTGCTCATGCCAGTTTGGATGTGACCCTTCTATTAGGCCTGTTGAAGGGCCCTCCTGTAAGTTGTATCTATCACCTGGCTTTCTCCTCATTGTTTACAGATGTAGTTCTTGTTAGAGGATGCCAGTAGCTCCTGCCCAGGGTCCCTATGCCCAGTCCCCATTAGAGAAAGGAGCTGGGGTGAGGGCCAGAGCTGGCAGTGGAAAGTTGTTCTCTTTTTCACTGACACAGTCACAGCTGATGACAGACTTTCTACAGGAAGAGGGGTCATCAGGAAGTCCAGAACACTAACAAGCCCTGGATTCTCATGGTTCTCTTATCTACTGTCAGTCCATGTGGCAGGTCTGTTGTGTCCACGCCACAGATGACCACATCTAATCTACTTCTACTCTCGGCTTTAGGACAAAAGCTCTGTCAGAGGGACAAGCTAAAGGTCAAAAATGATTTTAAACATTTTACCTCAGACTAATTTCTTTAAAGAATTCAGGTTCAAAACTAAACCATTGCTTATTTCACTGCACTGTTTCAACTAACATCCATGCAAATTTTGTAGTTGGAGACAGCTATGCAAACCCTGCCTGACTAGTTCACGGTCTGAGCCAGCACACTGGCTTCCTTGTCTATTGCAGTCTCAGGACAGTTACCTGCCGCTGAGTGGCCACTGTCCTTCCCAAATGTCAAGAAGTGAAGTGTGTCGTCCTTTCAGGGAAATTCAGGCAATTACTGAAAATGGAGGGTGGCAAGGACAGTTCTACCCTGGTGCCTTATGAATAAAAAGCTGGATTCTGGTTTACAGCAGCTTTACAGTGAGAGTTAAATTAACTGAGGTTGGGGGAAGAACAAGTAAAAAGGGAAGAAGGACTCCTGGGCGCTTTATAGTAAATCCTTCAGCAACAAGGCTGGCTCTGTGCCCTCCAAGCATCTAATGGCTTATTAAATTATCCCACAAGTGGGTTTTAGGCTCCTTTTTTTGAGCCAAAATGGAAGCTGGAAATCTGGTGCCATAACTATTGAGAAACTCACTTAATAGCCCACATTCAGTGTTCTGTTCCAGCTGGCTGCTGCTTCATTGGATGGAGAATGTATCTCCATGCACACACCGGCACACAGGGAGGTCCTGAAGTTAAATCTCCATCTATACTTGCTTTCACAAGTGATACAATTCATAAGGGGGCTGGCTCCTCCCAGAACTTTTGAAGGTTCAAAAACAAGGGGGCACTGACAGTGGAGTCAGCTGCTCTTGGGTGCCAGCAAAGCCTTTCAGTACAACCCTCCAGGCTCGCTGCAGTGCCTCAATCAGAAGCTAATGAAACCTCGGCCTAAAACTCATAGGACTGCCTGCCTGCCAGCCTGGGAGGAAGGTTAGGTCTGCTCCTTTCACTTAGGACTAAGAGGTCAGATTTTTGCATATAGGCTTCTTGAATTTTCTTGGGATCTTTCAGAGGGTGAGGAAAGAACCCCCCCTGCACCACTTTTTTTTTTTTTTTTTTTTTTTTTTTGAGATGGCGTTTCATTCTTGTTGCCCAGGCTGGAGTGCAGTGGCATGATCTCAGCTCACTGCAACCTCAGCCCTCCTGGTTCAAGCGATTCTCCTGTCTTCTGAGTAGTTGGGATTACAGGCATGCATACCATGCTCAGCTGCTTTTTGTATTTTTGGTAGAGATGGGGTTTTGCCATGTAATGGCTAGGCTGGTCTTGAACTCCTGAACTCAGGTGATCCATCCACCTCGGCCTCCCAAAGTGCTGGGATTATAGGTGTGAGCCACTGTGCCTGGCCTGCACCACTTTTTAATCAATTAATTAATTAATAATTTTGAGATGGAGTTTCACTCTTGCTGCCCAGGCTGGAGTGCGACAGCACGATCTCAGCTCACTGAAACCTCCGCCTCCCAGGTTCAAGTGATTCTCCTGCCTCAGCCTCCCAAGTAGCTGGGATTACAGGCATGCACCACCACACCCGACTAATTTTTGTATTTTTTTAAATTAGAGCTGGGGTTTCACCATGTTGGTCAGGCTGGTCTCGAACTCCTGACCTTGTGATCTGCCCATGTCGGCCTCCCAAAGTGCTGGGATTACAGGCCCACTGTGCCCAGCGCCTGCACCACTTTAATACCAACACTCCTGGGTGATCATGGACCTTAAAGCAGACCCGACACTGATCCAGATTTACAGTCCATTTTTAAGGACACCTGTCTTTATAAAGTCAAGCAGCTTTCTCTGGAAAATGAATGCTAACTAGTGTGAACTGAAAGAATAAGTAACAGTCTGAACCTTTTTTAAAGAAGAACGGTTATCATGGAAAGTCACTGGTCCTCTCCTCTGCACAGGACAGGTGTCCAGTACATAATAAACCAAATTAAATTCCCTCCCTCTAGCCAGAGTTAAAACAGCTGGGATACGACATCTTCACACCAGGAGCACTCATTTCTTAACAGCCGCTCTACATACATCTCTCAGGTAGTGCCAAGAGGCACACCAGGCACAGCAAACTTAGCAGACTGTACTTAGCCATCTGACTGGCTGCAATGTGCAAGTGGCAGAGATTTGTAAGGCACCCTCCTCCAGACTGCTAACTTTCTAAACTCATCCAAGTTACCAGGTCAGCTCAAATACATGCTAACAGAAAACTCTCATGGCCCTAGGAAGAAGTGACACTAAGCCAAAGCCTTTTCTTTGTGAGGGAGCAGGCCCAGCTGATGAAGGGGTAGGTAGCAGTGTGGGGCAGGCACCCCACTGGCTGCAGCTAGCCTACCACAGGCACAGGACAGCACACCCCACCACTCTCCTTCCAGTCCTGACCAGGCACAGTCAGCAACTTCCACTGAGAGTCACGGCTCAGCGTCAAACTGGACAGTAGGCATCATGATCCCTCTCCAGTTAGCTCTAATCACAGATTCCACCACTACAGCTTGACAGCTCCTGGCACCATCACTTCCTTAATCTTTTATTCAACTTTTATAAACTAACAGTCACCAGCACCAAAGAATTAAGTCAACTAACCTGCCTTGAATTTTAGACCAGCAATCCATATGGCTTTATCTGGTATAAATCTTCTGCCTTTGATCATTTCTGGACCATAAGAAAAAGGAATAGCAATCATTAAAATCTTGGGCCAGAGAACACTATTTTTACATAACAGTTTCTTAACCTAAAATCAAGGCCTTGGACTCTTCCCTGAGGGTTGCCTGAGATTCCTTCATGCTTTCTATTCAGGGCTAAGTCCCTTACTGCAAATGTGTTAGCTCTAACATCACCCACAAGCTAGAGGAACTTGTGAGTATATTAACAAGGACACATCTGACATCCAGTGTTTGGTTATAATATACAGCACATTGTGATAACACAAAGTGGATTCATCTTGTATCATTATGGGCAGAAGGTATTTGGCAAATTTTTATGTATTGTTTTATGTACTGTACACGTAACTTATTCTTGAATAATGCAAATTTTGCTATAATGTACAAATTGCTATATGTGAATTAAAAAGTTTTCAGAATCTCGATTTGCTGTCACAATATTTAAAGCTCTATTAAGACCATGGTTGCTCTATAAAATCCTTGCCCTTCCCGGATACGTGCCCTTCCCTTTGTCCTCCCTGATGCAATCTGGGAATATTAACAAATGCTTATGAGTCCATGTCAATAAGAAGCTTTGTACATCTTTTCAGCCTTCCTGTCCTCTGGATTTCTTTCTTGCAATTTTTTTCTGAGTGTCTCCTGCCCCCTACTGGTAAAGTAGAAAGATGCCTGAATTGGGAACTTCCAGCTAATTAATACTCATTTTGGTTCAGGAGATATTAAAAAGGAAGCTTACATAATCCATGTCAGCCCGAGGATGTGGAATTTCAGTGCTGCCCAACTCTGGCCAACCTTCCGCCTTCTGAAGCAGATCTCTAATCCACCAAAGAGCATAGACTCAGTCTTGTCTTTTTCTAGAGATACCTTGAACCAGAACTAAAGGTGAACAAGGAAAAATCATTGACAGCTACCTTCCGGGACAGTCAAAATGCACACTTAGCACACCTGCTTTGATAATAAGTACCCTACAATAGAATGAGCTTATACAGACACACACTAACTTGATCAGTTTTTAAAACTTTTTTTATTTTTTAATTTTTTTTAAGTTTTTATTTTATATTATCTACAAAGTAAAAGTTTTCCCTTAACTTAAAAGTTGAACCACTGTAGACAGTGATCACCTCATCAAACTTGATTTATAAATAATAATCCGTCAGTTTGACGGTAAGAATTTACTGAACCTTTGTCAAGTTTAGTAAAAGGGCGTTCCAAGTCTTGATTTTTTTTTTTTTTTTTTTTAGCAGTAAAGTAATAGCAGCAAGAATCACTCTTATTACTTCTGTTGCTAGCTGATGTGTTCGTGACTTTCAAGGGTTATTAAAAAATAAATAACTTCCAGTTTCGGCAAGCAGAGCTGGGGTACTTGCGGGACTTTGAAACAGCGTATGGAATTATGGAATAGCCCCAAGTTCCTAAATGCCTCTACTCGGTCCAAATATCTTCCACTGCAAGTGAACTGTTAGCATTCCTATTGGATGTTACAAGAAATCAACATAGGTATTTTAAAAACAAAATAAATGAAATTCTAGTTTTCTGTGCTTCCAGTTGGTAGAAGCAGTAGAAGGGAGGAGGGAATTTGGCCTTTTGGTTCCTCCAGGGCAGCCTTACAACTGCTGTTGGTGGTGGGCTTGTACTGTAAAAAGAAAAGCGAACATTGAAACAGAAAACTGTTAACACCACACATCAGCCTAGTGTCTCTGCAGCACATGATTGTAAACTATTCTCGTGCTAGCTGAACAAGACTCAAAATTGAATTTGCTTTTCCCCCTCCCATCTGTACCAAAGTGGGGAGGGGTGGGTGGGTGGCTGGGTAGAAACAAACCAGTCAGACGTAAAACCACTTCAGATAAAACTCCCAAAAGATCTGTTCCTGGGGTAGAAAAATAGGCCTTAACAACCCCCCTCCCCAAATATTAACCAAGCACCAGTATTGCTTTCAGAATAACAGGTCAGACTGTGAAGTATCACCATGGCACCCATCAAGTAGTAGAGCACAATCACAGGGCGCTCTCCCCCCGTCAGGGCATAGGCTGGGGCTAACACTACACTCAAAGCCAGTCCATCCACAGCACTTTCTCAGCAGTATCTTCTCCAGAGCTACAATCAAACTCTGCCATGGTAATAACCCCCCACATGTCAGACTTTTGGGACTCAGGAAGGAAAACACTGCCCTGTCCAGCCTATCATAACAAAGAAGGCCAACTGAGTCCTAGGCATGCATCAGCTACACAGAATGCTGCTGCTGCTGCTTCTCATCAAGCCAAATCCTGTATACCAGCAGAACACACACAGACTCGGCTCCTGGAAGCCTCAGGCCCTGACACTGAACTGATCATCACAGTCCCTCCTGTGCACACTCCTAATCGGGTCTTGCTAGTTCTCAAATGTGGGGCTTGAAGCACTGGCCCTGCCTGCCATTCTACCTGTGCGAGCAGAATGCTTTGGGGTGCCCCGGCGGCCCCTGCACACACACGCCTCACCTGAAGGGTGCGTCATATAGGGGAAATGCGCTGTTGTCGAGACTGGAATGGGCTGTAGTGCACTTTGAGCGAGGGCGGCCTGGGGACCGCCGGGTGGCTGTGTCGTCATTAGCATCATTGGCGCATGGGCAGTTGGATGAGAAGGAACCATTCCTGACTGTACATGAGCCTGAAACAGAGAGCTCTTTTACGCATACAGGCAACATCGGCTTAAACAACATGTCAACTGTGTTCCTTTCACTGGGTTGGGACTCTCAGGAAAGGGCAACGGTGGGCCTCAGGGCCCAGTTCTGTTCTCTGGGGACACTCTCTAGTGGACTATCTATTGACCTAAAGATGCACTTCACCTTTGGGCAGATCCTGCAAGGGTCAGGGAGCAGGCACCAAGTGAGCCTGGGTAAAAGTCAGGGCTGTGCTGTCCTAGCCCTCAACATTTCTGATCATTGTATTCTATGTATAGGGTAAGGTCTTCACAAAGATTAGACCCCTGATCCAAGGGCAGCTTTCTCAATGTCATACAAGATGCAATGATGTTTTAGAATCAGGCTGCCAGGTGGGGCCTGAGGTAGTTTTGCAGATAACATCCCTTTCAAATAGAAAAGCAGATTACTACATTAATAAGCAGAGACTCACAGTCCAGTATGTGGATTACTTGGACCTCTCTTCATTTGCCTCTCTCCCTCTGCTTCTGGACTGCTCACCAGGTAGTGAAAAAGAGACTCTTAAGCCCCCATGACTCTCTCAGAAATATGCTGATGGAGCAGGAGGAGGAGGAGGAGTTGCAGTTTAATGGCTCCAATGAGATGGAAAGGAGTAATCTGAAATCATCTGGGCCAGCCCAGTGTTTCTGCACCAAGCAGACCTGGTCTCACTCACTGTCAAGTTGGAGAGGTAATTTTAGTCAGCCCAAACAGCTGGATTCCAGCTCTGCAGGGGGTTGGCAGGGCCAGGAAGAGCCCTTTCTTTTTTCTCACACTGTACACTGTTCTAGAGCATGATAAGCCTTGGATGAAATGCCATTTTTACTCTCATATATTCAAATGGGCACATGGGATATTTGAGCTTCCTTGTGTTAACCTTTTTGCCCTTTCAGCACAAAAACACAGTGAGGTTTTAGGGATCCCTGACTTACATGTAAGTTCACATGCCTACTTAGCCACCAGCCTCTGCTAGACACTTACAGGACCCCAGCTCATATGAAGCTGACTCCACCAAACCACGCTGGCCCACACGGACCAAACCGGCTTCCCTCCCCACAATCAAAAAACAAATCAACTGCAGTGCGCTACACCACAGAACCTAAACTTTGCAGGGTGAGGACGCCCAAACTTCCCAGAGCTGTGGAACTCTACTTACAAGGTAGCCTTCTGAGAGACAGATCCAACTGAGTCGCATCTCTAGCCCACACCTTGCCAGAGCCTCACTGGCGCACTATTTAACAGGAAATGGAATTCATTGTGGCAGGTCTCACTTAGACCCGCCTCAGAGAGTTCTGTTATGAAAGTAGCAGAGACATCTAATACAGCCAATTCACCCATAACAGCCCCAGGAGGGCATCAAGGCCAGCGTTAGAGCCCAACTTCAGTGCAGCTCCTTCTCCTCATTAAGACAATTTCCTGGGCCCTGGAGTACAGGGACCTTTGTCAGCAGCTGATGCAGACAGCAACCACTGAGATGGCAAGCACACCTTTCACCTGTAGCAGCTTACACTGGAGGTGAGCTCCAAAGTGCTTCCAGGGCTGCTCTTAAAGAGAAATGGGACCACCTAGGTGCTTCCAGCTTCTAGTTACACTGCACCAATGTCCAAGGCCAAGCCCTCTCAAGAGTACAACTTATGGTCAAAGCAGATATATTGATAACCAGGGAAAACAATTGGAAAGATGTGTCTGGAACTCATGTGAATAACAATCAAGATGACAGGCCCTAGTAGTCACCTCAGAGGGCTGAGACTCTGTGAAGGCCGTCATCCTGGCCCAGCTTCCGAGGTAAGTGTGTGGAGGGAGATATTTATGTACACATATATATAGTAGGCTATATAGACATAGCAAAGCAGACACAGAAAGGAAAGAAGAACTGGGTTGCATTCCAGAGTCAAAGATATTTTTAAGGTCTCAGCAGTTGGGAAAAACTAAAGGACTGACCAATCAGCACCTTCACTGATCCCACTACAAAACCACACAAACATTCCCTTAGGGCCAGATCACGTGTATTTGAGCGGGAAAGGGAGACAGGCAAATGGCATGACACACAGGGTTTCTTAGCTGGGAGAGCCTCTAGCTGCTTACCAATAACCTTCATATTCTACTTGGCCTTCACAGAAAGTTGGCTAAAGCTGGTTTACCTGAGGTACGTGGGCCATGTGGGGTGGATTGGTATACGCCGGTTGAACATGAGAAGGATGGATCGTAAAGACGGTCTGCTGTGCTGCTGGGAAACTATTCTGTGGCGACTGTGTGTTGGAGGCAGGTGTCATGGAGGGTGGGGTTGGTGCAAGCCCCGCGTGGTAAATGGCTGACTGCTGCTGTGGACTGGCCAGATGGAGAGCCTGGGCGGCCTGGTGCTGATGGTGCTGCAAAAGCGATAGGAAAGAATTGAGAGAAAAACTTCTTTAATGAAAAGCAGCCAAGGAACACTCACAAAGCTGAGCTTTGCACATGTGGGCCTATGATGAGGGGCACTGGAAAGTACAGGGGGAGTATACAGGGTGGTAAGAGCAAGGCTGGAAATGCCTCCCATGTGGACATTCCTTCTGGGTTGCAGAAGCCTGATTCTCAGCCTGGCAGTTAGAAGCTTCTGACCATTCTAAAGTCAAACAAGACTACTGCCCCAGATAACTGATAGATATCAGAGATCTTTAATTGCCTCTATTAGCAAACATGATTCAAGTAGCTCACAGGAAAGTAACCTAACCACATAAACCTTAGGAATTAAAATTTAAAAGT